GTTGCTAATAGACAGTCTAATCTTGACATATTTAGATGAGTTTTTTTCCTTTAACCTCAAACAAATTAGTTATTCAAGAAGATAGTTAGTTTAGTTTTCCCTCCACATGGCAAACAACCCCAAAACCCTCACTAAATTCTAATGCTTTTTATTCATTACTTTCCAATATTAAATTAAAAAGTTACTGTTTAATAATTGATATTTACAAGAATACTTTTACTCAAGTATATTTGTAAATGAAAAGGATATAACTAAACTTATCTTCATGAATTTTTGGGAAAATGTGACTTCCTTATGTTGTCTTTGCTCTTGAAAAAAGAACGCAGTGGTTTATCTCTTTCGAGAACTTAAATCTGGGTGTTGTTGTTGTAGAATTTAATGCAATACCAAAGAGATTGTATAAGAAAAGGACTGGAGAGGAAAATGATGAGGCAAGGGAAAAGTCCAAGTACGTGTTACTAATTTAGGTACACCTGTTCTTATAAAATGCTGGTGAAATTTGTTAGTTCAGCCATCCTTTTCCACCCTTCCCACATCATGTAAACAAAACTTGAGAAATTAAACAACAATTTAGAAAGGGGTGGAACACTTATGAGGGTGCATCCCTACATTCAGGAGGCTGGGAATCCTTCCTATAATGATAACTTTGGGAAAACCAATTTACTGTTGGATCTGTGAATCAGAAGAATTCCATCTTCTCTGTGAAGGCCAACACACTTTGCATCTGTCTACTGGTGGAGATGGCTTCATTTGAAGGTTTTCCCTTTGACTTCACTATTCTTGCCATTTTCTTACTGAAAATTTAAATTTGGATCTGTGGGGTAGAGTGAGGGGATGCTGTGCAAGTCCACACCACCCAGACTAGGGGAGACTGAGAGCCAAGGTGCCATGCTCAGTTCTGCTTCCTACACGGAGGACCACGTTAAAGGACATGGCCATCCTTCCGGATAGCCTCTATTTTGCCACTCCTTCTCCCTGCCCCTTAAAAAAATAATGTTTAGCTCTCTTTTCTGATTTTAAAATTATACATATTGATGATAAAAATTAAAAATTAGAGCATAGAAAGCAAAAGATAAAAATTATTCAACCATTCTTCTAACACTCAGAAGTGACAAAGGTAACTTTTAGTGTATTTCCCTTCAATCTTTTTTTCTCTGGGATACCCACACACAAATAAACACACACATACACACCTATGATACTGTATCCTTATTTTGAAATATAGATTCATAGTGTCTTGACTTTTTCACATAAAATTATATCGTGAATATTTCCCTTTTCATTAAAAATTCTTAAAAATAATATTTTCTGAGGTTGCAACTTATGGTGGGAGCATTATTTTGAAAAAATTGTATCTTGAGAGATTTCTAATTTAGGTTATGAAAAATAATTTTAGTCCATAAAAATTAATCTATAGCAGTGATCATTTCCATAGGATAAATTATTTGAAGTAGAATTTTGGGTTAAAAAGGACAGCTGTTTTTAAGATTATTGAAATATACCATCAAACTGCTATGCAGAAAGGGTATATCAGTTTAGTCTTGCCAAAAACGTATTTGAATTCCAACTTTTCCCTCACCTTTGACAGCATACAGCATGATTCTGCTTAAAAATATTTTGCTAATTCACTGGTCATTTCGCAATGCGAAGCTGATCGTATTTGTTGGGAAATACTATTTGTAATGGACTCTAGAATAATTACATAAACGGCAAGAGAAAGTCATGGGATTTCAACTTAATTAGAAGAGTTAGCTGAAACAGTTGGCATTTTCTGATCATTTTTGGTGGCTACTAGGTCAGAAAAACAGACTGTTAATCTCTTTACAATAACATTTCTAGTATATTTGATTACTGCCTTAGTTTACTTTGATTGTTTTCAAAGGAAGCATCCCTATTTAAAGGATTTTTAAGTAGTATGTTTTTTCCTCTTATAAAAAAACATTAATCCAGGTACTAAAAAAAAATGTTACTCTTCTTAAGATAAATAGCCTTTCCCTACACCTTCAACTCTCCTATATGAAGTTAGGACAGACTTCTCTCACCTTCTCTTAGAAACTGCCTAACTTATGTACTTTAATTTCCTGGGACTAAGCTGAAGAGTGGTAATAAAGTTAATTAAACAGCAGGTAAATGAATATTTAAGAACCAGCATTTATGGAAGCAATTTTAGGCAAATCTGTGTCTTAACACAGGTAATCTTTGTTCTTTACTTATCCAAAAAAAGAAAAAATTAATGAAAACCTACTATGTGCCAGGCATTTTGCTGATATACTGTTGATAAAAAGTGAAAAGATACAGTTCCTGCTCTACGAAGGATCACAAGTTAGTAGGAGTAAAAGTCTTATATAATTACAGTGAAATTTTAAGTGCCTATAAAAGATGCAGGTGTAAGGCTCAGTGGGGGCTGGGGAGAGGAGGTAGAGAGCTGTCTGGGTTGGTAAACAGGTAACATGTAAGCTGCGTGTTGGAGAACGAGCAGGATTGTCAGCTGTAAGGGCGAGAGGATGGCAATAGGCAGAAGGAGCAGCACATGAACAGGAACCAGGGCAAAGCATCACACTGTTAAGCACGCTAGGGATGCTTTGAAAGAATTTAAGCAGGGAAATGACCTGGTCATACTTTTGCTCCGGAAACACGTGCAAAGTGGTCAGTGGATGTTATTTTTGCAGGGCTGGGGTACACAGAGCCACGTAGCAAGACAAGATGGAGGGAGACCACTTACAGGGCAAGAAATTTCAATGGCTTAAAGCTGTGGCTCCCAAACTTCAGAGTGCATCAGAATCACCTGGATGACCTATCATGAAACACAGATTATCAGGCTCCGTCCCCAGACTTTCTGATTCCGTAGGTATGGAATGGAGCCTAAGAATGTACATTTCTAACAAGTTCTCCTTTGGTTTAATGTGACTTCTAGGTTTTTGATTTAAGCAACTGGGCAGATCCTGGTGCCATAAAACAAATGATGAAAAGAATGGAGCAGGTGCTTCCTTAGCCAGCAATCTCTCTTCTCTTTTGATGCTGTTCCTCTAATTCTCCGAGGTTTACATGCTACCTGCTGGCTGTCTCCCCACACAAGCATCCCTGTGAGAAGTATCTCTGTCAGCTTATGATAGACCCCAATGGACTAAAGTGTCACTGATTATGGAAATGGGAGTTTGATGTTCCTCTAGGGTGAGACATTTCTATTTAATTGTCCTCCTGAAACCACACCTCAGCTCGATGCACTGACTACAGTAGGGATTTCAAGTACCACCGCTGGCAATCGGCAGGGTTCGTTCCTGGATGGTGGGGGCCTTTTGGCATCCCTCCGTGAACAAAGTCTTGCCCTGACAATGCATACAGGCAGGTCTGTATAAATGACAGATATCAGTTACAATTTCTATTCTTTGGACTCTGCCCCAGCTGGGGTGGATCCCAAATAGGTATAAATTATCTTTGCCAAGGAAAAACAACAGTGACTTTTATAAAGATATCTCTGCTTAATTATAGTCTAATAACCTTCTGCTTTGAATAACTTGCTCCATTATATGATCAGGCAGTGAACATGAAATCTTCTCCAATCAAATTATGTAAATGTGTCTATATACATACACAGGCACTCTCATACTCCTTGGGAAAAGTTACTTCATCCCATTTTATATCAGATCTTCACTTGTACAATTAGGATTATCAATTACCTTATTGGGTGTTGGGTGGATTAAATGAAATGTTTGTAAAGCATCTACTCCACTCTACTGATAATAAATATTCTCTTTTCTCCTTTTGTTTTCTCCTCGATGATTTGTTACCTCGCCACTCTGGTGGGAAGTGACCGAACTCCGAACATCTTTGAAAGGCACCACTGTTTGGAATGAGTGAACTCATAGACAGAGATGACATTGTATTGATTAGGGGATTACCCAGTGAGCTGATTACAGACTGCCACAGGTCATTCTGCAAATACCATCAGTAGATGCTGAAGACTATTTTAATGTTAAGGGTTGCTTCTTTGAAATTAGATTTTCTTAGACTTCCCGCTGTACTATGTCCCTCATTTCTACTCTGATCATAGAAGTTATTGCATATTTGATTTTAATGTGGTCATTTGCCTATGACTTGAGGAAATTCAACCCTTTCTCCTACAGCGGGGAAAAAACAGGATTAAGGAAAACCAAGAGTTTAGAGCATGCCATATTCTGGACTTCACTTTCCCAGTTGTCAGTTCTGTAGGTTCTCACTAGTATCACAGCTTGTTTCAATACCGGCTATGATCACACTCGGGAGTTTTATCCTGGCTCCCATGAAGATCTAATCAGAGGTAGGAATATATATAGGTATATTCCTACCTATACCCATATATACACTCATCCCCAAATCTATAGTCATTATCCACACCACCTCAGACATTTTTATAAAAGTCCTAGAAGGACAGATATAGAACATGCCTTAATTATTTCTTATCATGAATGCTAATAAAACTATTTGTTTTCCAAACTTGGAAAGGCAGAATCAGATGGATTCTGCCTTCCAACCTTGTTTTCCAGAATCTGATGGATTAGATTGCCCATACTTCGTAGAGTTCCCCACATAACAAAATTATACTGGATGGGAAATTTTTGTCAGGAAATTTGATTATTTCTAAATTCATTTTATTGGTGTCCCCTGCTGGGCTCCCACAAGCTCCCCTGATTCAGTTAAAGGGTATATGACAATAGCTGGTGACTATGAAAATATATGTCCAGAGGGAATCTCAGATAAATATTGTGTAGGGGGAAAAAAATCTAAGTTGAAATCATTTGTAAGACAATAAGTACTGCTTCACTTTAAGGATGAAAAATTTGACATGGCACTACGATTAGGCTCGGTTTCTGTGCTTCCTGGAAAATCCCTAAAGAAACCGTTGCTTTTAAAAGTTGATGCTTTCATAGCTTAGTTTATTTTATCAAGTGTGCCCATCTGTGGTAAGGGTAGTAGGTTTTACCTGCGGGCGAGGGTTCAGTTCAGCATGCTTTTATACTCACCTATGAATCTTATGATCCTTCGGAGTAAGGGGTTCAGGTAACAGCATTCTCCGGTCAGGATTGTTTTCTCCTGGGCAATTAGAGATTCTCTGGTTGACTTTATGAAATACATGGATATCTCACCAATAAAAATCTGGAGAAAGAATGTTTAAGAAATGTCAAGTTGGAAAGCTGTCTGACAGAAGAGACCAGTTGCCTTAAAAAACAAAAACTTCTGAAGCTCCAAATGCTTTTAAAAGATGTCATGTTGCAGAGATGGAGAGTTAAATCATAATTTGTACTTAATTCTTCAAAAGAATTAGAGGTGGCAATAACTGATAATTTCAGCTAGGTTTCAGGCTATATTATTAAATTCTAAGGTCATAAAAACATAAATGGAAATAGTGAATTGCAGTGGGAACTATGATAAGGCTCACTCACACTGGGACTGAATTTTTTTCATGTTTATTTATTTATTTTGAGAGACAGAAAGAGAGACAGAGAGGAGGCAAGCATGAGTGGGGGAGGGGCAGAGGGTGAGGGAGAGAGAGAGAATCCCAGGCAGGATCCTCACTGTTATCTCTCAAACTACGAGACCATGACCTGAGCTGAAATCAAGCGCCCGACGCTCAATCGACTGAACCACCCAGGTGTCCCTGGGATTGATTTTTTTAACTGAATGTGTGAGTTGCAATGATGAGAAATGACTGGGACAGCCCCATGTGCCTAACAAGGCATTATAAGCACACATAACAATAAATTATTACCTTGTTACATGGCAACACATTATTCACCTGATAAATCTTTACTTGAATATATTGGCTTGAGCTTTATTTCTCTTACTGGTTGACTGTCTCTTTATAACTGGTACCTTGGTACCTCTCTCTCGTTATCTTGAACTAATACATATATATTACTATATACATTATAATGTCTTTGTGTAGGCTGTAAACTCTCTGAGGACAGGGGCCACAACCTATGTTTCTTGATTACTCTTGTAGTACTCAGCACAGTATATTCTTATTTAAAATAAGGAACTGACGGGGGAGGGTGGCTGGGTGTCTCAGTTGGTTAAGTGAGTCTTGATTTTGGCTCAGTTCATGATCTCATGGTTGTGAAATTGAGTCCCCCATCAGGCTCTGTGCTGAGTGTAGAGGCTGCTTGGGACTCTCTCTCTCCCTCGCCCTCTCCCCCTCCCCCACTCAGGCTTGCTCTCTCTCTGTCTCTCAAAAAAAAAAAAAAATAAGGAACTAGCATGAGGTAAGTTGTCACCAACTCTGCCACAAGTGAAGACTGAGAACCACCAACAAAGAATAAAAAGTTGCTAATTACCATCATCTATTGAAAACTATGTGTCAGGCACTTCATCATAGTATTTTTCATGCTTGTAAGATTCCTAGTATAAGTATTATTACCCTTGCTTTGCTGGGGAAGATAGAACATTCAGGACCTCCCATAGCATACAATTGGCATGTGGGGGCACTGGGATTGGTATCCAGGACAACTAAATTCTAAAGTCCACACTTTCCACCACATCACATGCCATTTTTATTTTCCTAATCCCAATTTCAACATTTTCCCAGAAGAATGTGATCCTATAGATGTTCTTCTTTGCTATGTACATGCTTATGGTGTTAGATAAACTTTATCAATACGTTAAGAATTCCCATTCCTTATATTCCTTCCGTCATTATGGAATAGATGGATAAAGGTGGCAACATCATGAATGGCACAGGGTGTGGAAATGAAACTATAAAATTATAAAATTGGAACCATTTACAGATATTTTCCCTTTGATGATCTAGGACACCAAAGGTCTCAGTGCTTGGCCACACATAGTCAGTGTTGGAGGCAGCACTAGAATGTGGCCTTTACACATAATTCCATGCACAAGTGTTATCTTGATTGTACAAATGTAACACCTGAGGCACAGAGGGATTCAATAATTTGTCTAAGGTCAGAGCTAGTAAGTCACAAACCCTGGCTCTGAAGCCAAGAAGACCTGGCTCCATGGTCTTCATCTCAACTGCTTACACTTTTACTAAGTAGTGACTCAATAAAAATATTTGTTGCATCTGTGTTTAATATTGAGAACATAGAAAACAAAACAAGTTAAGCGTAATATGTTTTAAATACTGAAAAACTCAGATGCTATTAAAGTACAAGACAGAATGGTGTTGTGGAAATAGCACTAGAGGCAAGTCAGAAGGAGGTGGGAAGTTGGCAGGAGTAGACAGTATTTGGGGTCAGACAGGCACACAATGGCATGTATCACTTTGGCAGGTGGCGTTGAAGTATGGTTGTTCTGAGTTAAAAATATTTTGTGCCTAATGTCCCTTGGAATTAACAATGAGATGATGCTCTGTCATGTACAAATATCTGAATAGCTTTAAGAACTCAGCCCTCCTTCTTTTCCAGTAAGACCTATCTCTGCTAAAATAAGGTGCCAAAGGGTTTTGTTTGTCCTTACTGTACGTGATGGAAGCGTATTGCTGGTTTTTTATCTTACTGAACAGATGGGGATGGATTCATGCATGCTTGGATACATGAAACAGTATTTCCTTGAGGGAGTTTTCTCTGATTCCACAGACTAGCTCAGGCATTCTTGTTATACGTGAATTTCTTACCTTGCGTTTCTCTTTTCTATTTCTTATCAGAAATGGTTACATATTATTATTGTTGTTCTTTGTTATGGGATGTCCTGGTATTCTTAGTTACTATCCCCTCCCTACAGCATCCCCCGGCTTAGCCCAGTGTAAGGTACATCATAGTTATTCAATGTTGAATGAAGCACACCAGATTAAGGAAGGTCTTTTGGAACACAGGTGTAATGAGGTAGACTATAAAGAACAAAAAACAATTTCTATTATTTATCCTTCTGGACCCAGTGAAAATGTCACTACCCTCCCCAAAGCCTTTACCAGATCCCCTCGGGAAAAGAGAGACCCTGTCTTGTCATTGCTCCCACAACATGTTATACAGATCTCTCTCTTGACATCTACCCACTTAACTGCAATTATTGTTTGTGTGTCCTACTTCATTTGACTACAATATTCTTATGGGAAGGACTTGTGCCATTCCTTGTATGGTGCTTAGAACAAGGTCTGGTAGGCTCAATTAATACTTGTTGAATAAACAAAAGATTGAATCTTTAGAGGACCTACTTCTAGGTAGAATCTGACCTTATAGACTCTGACCTCTGACCTTTATTTCTCTGAAGATGAACACTGCAGGGAATTGACAATATGGACCGGAAAACACACAATTCTTGGTGTATTGCTTAAGAATAAATGAAAACTGTGGACCAAGTAATACAAAGTGAATTATCTCTTCTAAACTAAATTCATCATATCCTCATTTTGCATTCAACAGTTTTGGAGAGGGAGAACCCACTCTGCCAGGAATTGTTTTAGCACTGGAGGCATAGCCGTGAACAGATGTCGTGTGTGTGTGTGTGTGTGTGTGTGTGTGTGTGTGTGTGTGTAGGGAGGGCAAAAAAACTGAATAAATACATCATGTAATGTCATTAAGTGACATATGATTACAAAGTAAATGAGGGAAATGGGATGGGGGTGATAAACACATAAGGACAAATATGAAAAGAAATAAGCATTGCTTGCCTTAACCATTTCAGAAGCCCAAAGCATTCTTACTCTACAGGAAAGAGATGTGCACATTCTAGAAATTTTCCATTTAGTGAGACTTTCCACTACTCACACAAGAGGGAAAAGGAGGCAAAAAATGTGTGTAAACATCTACACACAACCTATTCTTGTTAAAAATACACATGTGCATACCCATATACCCACACAAAAATCTCAACAAAATCACTACAAGTCATGTCAGACCAAACAGAACTTGTCATGTAAAAGGGTATGGGGCCTAATCCACAAGTAAATCCTAAGACTCTCATGTCAAAGGTAATAATTAGTACAAGGTTTGTTATTATTGGCTGGCAATATTCAAATTCCCGTTGAGGTATGAAGCATAAAAGAAAAAGAAGTCAGAGCAAGGATATCTACCAACTTATATACCCAGTTCAGACAATGCTTGGAATATATTAAGTGATGATAAATATTCACATAAGGAAGAGAGGAAGAAAGTGAGGGAGGAAGGGGGTCATTTTATAACTGAAATAGGAGGATATTTCTGGTTGTCAGTAAAGACTGTGATGGACATAAAGGTTGCTGAAGAAACAATCCAGTTCTCAGACTCCACTGAGTGGGCTGAAGGAAGTGCATTTTTCTGCATTTTACTGACCACACACAGGGTGCTATTTGTCCATTTATTGGGTCCCATAATCTCATATAGGGCCTGATTATGCTTGGGGGGGGGGGAGAGAGAGAGAGAGGGAGAGAGAGAGAGAGAGAGAGAGAATTCTGCTTGATAAGGGAAGGGGTCTCTCTTCTTTCCTGCCAGGCCTCCAGCCCACATTGAGTGCCATTTTGTACATTGTGGCAGATTTAGGACTCTGGTTTTGGCAATGGCTGGGTTCCCCCATCTGTGTCTTTGCCACACACACTCTGCCTCTATCTACCCCTCTGTTCAGAGAGTAAATGGGACATGTGGGACTCACCATGTGCTTGTCCCTGGCTGCCCTATTACGGTCTTTCTGATTGTTGGCTAACAAACATCGTATCACTCACAGCAAATGAGAACACCCTCTGGTGAGAAATGACCAAGGCCAAACTCTAGATCTGGAAATGAATGAACTGCACGTGAATTCCATTGATGCATTTCTTATCCCCTAGCTCTGCCAGCTACAACCCCACATGACATAAGACATTTAGATAATAGTAAGTACACTTTAAGTAATGAGGATAACTGTTCTAGCTTGATAAAGTTGTATTTCAGATATGAAAACCCAAATGGCAAAGAAATAAACAAATAATCCTGGAATATGGTGCATCAGTTGGGTGTGTTATCTCTTAGACCTCGTTTCTTCACAATGTTTCACAGAAGATCTGGTAAGTGATAAATAAAGGATATCAACACACAGTATTTAGGGGACAGTTTTCAGATTTCAAAATATAAACAGTTTGCAGAAAAAAGTCACTGGAAGATGTATGACAATCTCATATTGTAAGGGGGTTTCACTGCACGTTATATGTGGTTGTCACTAAAAAGGGCATCTAGAACTCCTGCACTATATGT